GTATGTGGGAGGACTCCTATTTCCCAGCCCTGGCTGACAATGTAGAAGGAAATAAAACCTATGTAAGTAATCAAAATGCAAGGCAGATAGCAATAAACTATTTTTTAAAAATAGGTACATACAAAGTTCTGTAAGTATCCAGAAGAAAACAAAGAGCAGATTTCTGTGACTATCAGGGAAGACTTCCAAGTGGAGGTGGTATTTGAGGTGAGAGGAATTTTGAAATCAGGAAAGGATTATCAGAGTTACAAAAAACTTGCTGTAAAAACTTGTTGTAAAAATCAAAGCTGTAAAAATGATTTCGGCCCATGTATCTGCCTCTTAAAATGTTTTCATCTGAATAATTTATAAGCCATTAAATGATGTTTTAGGTGGGAAAAATAGAAACTATGAGGAAATTTATAATTCCTAAGATTCTGAAAACTCTTCCAAAAAATTTCAGTACAGTAGAGGTAGATTATTTTAGCAATTCAAATTCAGTTTTCCTCTTACTTCAGAAAACAAGTCTATTTTGTTTTTTCTTTTTGATAGCTGTTGCCTTATAGCTTTGATGGACTAGTTGGGCTTTTGTTTCCCACGTAACACTTGGCAGTTAGCAGTGGTTCTGGATTCCAGTCACTTCTCTGTTGGTCAATGTGCCTGTAGGTCAGGGCTAACAAATGGTCTAGTTCCTTAGCTACCTTCAGCATGCATTCTCTTTTCATTGCAAAACAAGTAAGACTAAATTTGGCATTCTCCGTCATTCTAAAATAGAGCAGAAGCACTTGAGCCATTTGGATCATGCCAAGGAAAACATACTTACTGAGAGAGATCAGTGGCAAACAAACAAAAAGATTATTGGTCAGACTTAATAAGGGAAAGACCAGAGAATAATAGATTGTGTCTTCACCAGCAAGCACACCCGCTCATTGGTCTTTAAAACAAGGATGTTTTGTGTGAAAGGAGATAAAAAGAGTCAGGAAAGATTTTTAAAACATAACATCTTAGCAAAAGCTGGTTCTTGTCTCATCCTTTCCAAAGAACCAAAGAGGTTGCTTGCTTACTTTGCAAGTTACATAATTAATTCAAGAAGCAATCATGATTCCTTTTCTCCATCTTAAAGGAAGTTTAGCCTTTAGAGATGGAAGTGTCTCGCTTCACTTTCCCAATGTACATAACTAAAAAGAGTCATTTTCATCTTTCATGATCACAGACTTGGCAATAGGAGAATCTGTAAAAGGTCCTGAGATCATTTAACAATTAGATCTGCCCTCGGGTAGAGTGAACTCTCCCTCAGTTCCACATTGTAGGAACCCTTATTCTAATGGTGCTTTGCGTGTAATACTTTCTGATTTGTTAATGAGTATTTTTACACATGTAGGCTAGATGATAATGGAAGCTTAAAATAATATCCTGGAGATATTTCACAATCATTAAGTATTGTCTGAGTCAAGATAAAATCATGCTTACTATAGTCTTATATTTAAACACATATTAAAAATCTAATTCTCTCCAAATCAATAATCTGTATTTGATACATAATAGAGTAACACTCCCTTAACAAGAATATTTAATTAACCACAACAACCCATTGTTTTTCCGTATCAGATATTAGAGAATTTACTGAAGAGTTCTGTTTAGCCCACCACTCTGTCAGCCCCCCTCCCCTTAGTATGCGCCATCCACCAAAGCCTTATGGTCATATAAACTCTCTATTTTAACTAAATATGTATTTTGGAAAAAATATATAAAAAAGCCCTTCTCTTATTCCTCACTGTGTGAGGCCATTACACACACACACACACACACACACACAGTGTGTGTGCCATCACACACACACGCACACGTGCGCATGCACGTGCACATGCACACTTTCCCCTGATGTAAGTGTGAAGTCTAGCCTGCTTTTTCCCATGTGGACTTTGCAAAATGGTAATAAATTCTGAGCATGTGGCGTAACAAAAAGCTCCTAGGTCCTGATCCAACTTTGATCATCCATCCTGTTAGAAATACGATGCTTGTCCTTGAGATTTAGCTATTTATTTAAAGGCAGAAAGAATAATATTGTTGAAAATTGTAGCTCCACTTTCTCATCCTACCCTATATTTGTATATATTTTATAATTTATAATGAAAGTATTTTTCATATAAGTATTCAATAACCAGATATAAGCTAGAAATAAGAAGTGATTTAACACAAATCGAATTTATATAAGCAAATTGGGGAACCGTAAGTGATATGGGGGTCTACTTTGTAGATTTTTTTCTTTTTTTAGAATGTCTTAAATCATAGGTCTTATTGTTATAAAATCCTGTTGGATACATATTTTTTAAAACTCATAATGTTGGCTCAATTGTTTTCAATGTAAAATAAAACCATTTAAAAATATCTCACACAGGTGTTTAATCAGGAGGGAGAATTCATGTTGAAGTTTGGCTCAAATGGAGAAGGAAATGGGCAGTTTAATGCTCCAACAGGTGTAGCAGTGGATTCAAATGGAAACATCATTGTAGCAGACTGGGGAAACAGCAGAATCCAGGTAACTGAAAATGCTAATGTATTTGTTTAGAGTGATCGTTATTTGTTGAAAGTGAAGAATTGGCTGTCTCCCAACTGGAATGTTTTCCATTCTTCTTTGGTTAGGTTCTTCATAGACCACAGGTAATCTCACCAGAAGTGCTGAACTAAGGAAGGTGGAGTTAGAAAAAACATAAACAGGTTACCAGAGGGAAACCCTCTGAAACTGGGAATTTTTTAACATCCCATGGACCCCCCAAAGTGTGTGTGGATAGAATTCAAGAGGTCCATTGAACAAAATATTATATTACTATTTCTACTAGCTTCTAACTAAAAACTATCATTTTCTTTAATGATGAATATAGGCAACAATCACAGTAGTTTTAGAAATACCTATAACTTTGTCACCAAGAGGAATCACAGAAATTTCCATATTATAGTTGAGAGGTCTTGAATTATCATTTATGCTCATCACTCTTCAAAAATAGTCAATAGTAGGCCCATCACTATTTCTTGTTACTTTAATGTGTTGGTTAAAAAAGTACACATATTACTATGTTGCAATTTTGTAAAATTTTGATAACTATATTTTAATTTTTACCTTTATAACCCCATGTATTTTGTTTTATGCATTTAAAAACATTATTCTGCTGAATAACCTGAATCAAAGGGGAAGTCTCAAGGAAAATTTAAAAATATATTGGACTGAATGAAAATGCAAATACAGCATATCAAAGTTTGTGGAGTGCAGCTAAGACAATCCTGAGAGGGAGACTTTTTCCCCCAGCTTTATTGAGGTATAATTGACATACAGTATTGTGTAAGTTTAAGGTGTACAACGTGTTGATTTGATACAATTATATATTGCAAAATGATTACCACCATAGCTTTAGCTAACACCTCCATCACCATCACATTGTTAACATTTCTTTTTTTGTGGTGAGAACATATAGATCTACTCCCTTAGCAACTTCAAGTACCTAAGACAGTTTTATTAACTATAATCACCACACTATGCATCAGCTCCCCAGAACTAAATCAGTTTCTAACTGGAAGTTTATACCCTTTGATCAACTTCTCCCCATTTCCCCCACTCCTCAGCCCTAGTAATCACCATTCTACATGAGAAGGAAATTAATAGCACTAAATGCTTATATTACAAAGTCAAAAATCAATATTCTGAGCTCCTTCATCAAGAATATTATGCAGCCATCAAAAAAATGAAATCTTGCCATTTTGCAACTACGTGGAATTAGAGGGTATTATGCTGAGTGAAATAAGTCAATTAGAGAAAGACAATTATCATATGATCTCACTGATATGAGGAATTTGAGAAAGAAGACAGAGGATCATAGGGGAAAGGAGGGAAAAATGAAACAAGACAAAACCGGAGGGGGAGACAAACCATCAGAGACTCTTAATCTCAGGAAACAAACTGAGGGTTGCTGGAGTGGTGGGGGGTGGGAGGGATGGGGTGGCTGGGTGATGGACATTGGGGAGGGTATGTGCTATGGTGAGCGCTGTGAATTGTGTAAGACTGATGAATCACAGACCTGTACCCCTGAAACAAATAATACATTATATGTTAATTTAAAAAAAGGAAAAATAAATAAATAAATAAATAAAACAAAAACAAACCCCACAAATGTACATAGTAAACCACTGACTTCTTATAATTCCTTCTTTTCTGAAAAAAAAAAAAAAGATCTTTATCTTCTCATTGTATACTATGACTGACAACCATACCTCTGTGGTCTAGTTGCTGATTTTTCCGTTATGATTGGGAATAAAAGCCCTCTTTTATATAAGGAGGGGAAAATGAAGGCTGAGAGTAAGAAACAAGGGTCATTCATTTTCAGGCACCATCGAGGGCTATTCCCCTCAAACTGACCACTGTAAGAATGTAAGTGAGATCTGTTGGCCAATGTCATGCTCCTTGTCAGTGACTCTGGGGAATAGAGAATGAGAGGAGAAAAAGCAAGGTTAAGTAAAGGGAAGGCCTGGATATGTGATAGATCTCAACAAACTTGTGGGCTTACATGCATGCTTTTTCTAAAGATTTATTTATTTTAGAGAGTGAGGGAGGGGCAGAGGAAGAGAGAGTCTTAAGCAGACCCTGTGCTGTGCGCGGAGCCCTATGTGGGGCTCGATCTCATGACCTTGAGATCACCACCTGAGCCAAAACCAAGAGTTGGATGCCTAACCGACTGCCCCCCCCCCCAGGTGCTCCTTACACGCATGCTTTTATATTGAAAATATTAGCATCAAGGGTTTTCTAACTCCTATTTCATCCTATTACTATAGCTTTTCCTAGAACACTCTGACTTTATATTTCTTACAGGTTTTTGACGGAAGTGGATCATTTTTGTCCTACATTAACACATCTGCTGACCCACTCTATGGCCCCCAAGGCCTGGCCCTAACTTCAGATGGCCATGTTGTGGTTGCAGACTCTGGAAACCACTGTTTCAAGGTCTACCGGTACTTACAGTAATGGCAGGCAGCTGGCCTGACCTTACAAAGGTCTTGCACTATAAACTGGAATGGATTTCTCGACGCGGGACCAGATTACACTAGACTTTTCATGCTAGAAGGAATCATTGGTGAACTTTCCAAGGTTATTTCTGAATGTAACTATTTCCTTAAAACCTGCATATCTGATTTCTGTAATTCACCTTTTAGGGTTTAAAGAAAAGAAATCCCTTCTACTGAATCTATGGAAACTGCAAAGTTTTACACCTGTGAACTATGGCTTATCGGACAGGGGTTTATGTAGTTGAACTGATTTTGCAAATCAAACAAACACTAAAAAAACAAAACAAAACAAAACAAAAAAAAGCTAGAATGTTTAAAGATATTTGTTAATCCTGTGAATGGTAGCTTTTGTGCAGAGCTTCCAAAAACAAAACAAAAACAAAAAATCTGTTGTAGTTATATACTTTATTTAACTTCAGTCACAAGACCCGGGGGATCTTCTAACCTCACTTTTACAGTAGGTATTACTCATGTGACATTTTTTGGTTATCGATAACTACATACACATTGGGAAAAAATAAGACTGTCTTGCAAAACCCTCCCAGCTCTGATTAGGCAGGCCTCTTGAGGTTAGCACTTAAAAACCCCTGCAAATTTCCCATCCTTTCTGGGTTAGATCCAAGATCCTTTTTGTGTGTTCTTTACACCGTTTCTCTCCTGCTCACCTTGTATCAAAAAACAAAGTCCATTTTCAGGGAAGCCTGAAATCCCCAATGCTTTGAAAAGCATATTGCTATTGTAATACCTTTGGTATTTAATTAAATACCTTTGGTAAACAAACAGCCCCCTCAACTCCAGACTAATGCACTAGAATGTAATCAAGAAAAAGTTAGCCACATTTTATGTGCCAATGTTCTCACGTGTCTCTCCTCTTCCACTTCCTGAAAGCGAAAGCTTTACCTCCTGCAAAATGTCAGCACATGTAGTAGGACACCAGTATCCTAGGACAGAGAGCCATAAGTAGCCCTTTGGAGGACTGATGGTGTCAACCAAAGGCATGTGATTGATTAATGGTTTCCCCTTAGAAAGCAAGTGTTACCAAAGTCGTGTTATCTCGAGAGCATTACAGGTAAGGGCATGTTATGGTTATTTATCATTGTCTAATGAATAGTAGAGGCATTAAAGGACTATGTATACATGATTAGGGTAAGGTAGAATGTATCATACATATATATATATACATATATATATAGCTGAATATTTGGTGTATTGAAATAGGCAGCACCCTGAAAGACAGAAGCATCGTCCAGCACATTCCTTTACTGCGCAGTTTAAAGCCGTCCTTGTAGAGTAAGCCCTAAAACAGGTTTAATTTTCACCATTTTCCAGTAATGATGATATCAGCTGACTTTTATAGTCAGAAAATGGCCTTCTGTGCTTTCAAAAACAAAACAAAAACAGGTCGAAAGAAAAAGAAACGTTGAACTTGAGTTACATTTAATTTAAGTATACATGCATTTGGAGAAATGTGAAGAAGAATTTAGTCAATTGTTAATCTGTCATTGATACTGTAAAATAAGATGTGGTCTGTTTCCACTGTTTAATTTTCTACTCAGTTCTACCAAATAGGATGTCATGTTTGGCATTTTTGATAATGACTTTGGGATCTTTTTCACTGAAAGCACCTTAGAACTGTACTATAAGAAAACATTTCCCGTATGTCTAATGATATGTGATGTTTATTGCTTATTAATTTATAATTTAGTCATTCTCTTATATAGGACTTTTTTTAATTTAGAAGGAGAATCTAGCTATTTCCAGTTGTCTGTCAAATTTATTATGCCCAAATCAACCTCTGAAAGAAAATTTTTCAGGAAGATTTACATTTAGGTTTACTTTTCTTCTTCTTCTTCTTCTTTTTTTTTTAGTTAGGTAGAGCTTTCAAAATATTTGAAACTATGACAGAGTTATAAAATTCAATAACATTTTTAGAATGTTAAACTAAGATACTGTTTCCTAACATCAGCAAACTAAGTCTTTTGAATGTAAACATTTGTATTTAATGAGTGCTTCCTAGGTGCCAGGCACTATTCCCAGGACTGGGGAAACAGCAATGGATCAGACAGAAATCCCTGCCTGCTTGGAGCTTACACTCTAGGGAGGAATTTCATTTTGCCACTTAATAACATTTTGCATTCAAGATAAGCTAGACTCTTGATAGCTCCTAGACTATTTAGAAGAAAACTTTTTAAATTGGTTAAATTAATTTTAGTTTATTTTCACAAGTAAAAATGGCTTCCTATTTAGATTCTGTTCACAGGCTGTTGGTCTTAAGACTAGTTTACTTAAAAGAGTTTTTTTGCACAACATTGAAATTGTATTTGTGAATTTAGAAGTTAACCAGCCATCATACCATAACAGGCTGGATAGCTCAATAATAGGTTGCATACAAGGCTAATTTTTTTTTTTTAACCTGTCAATATTGGCACAAACTGGAATGGAAGAATAGATACTTTGATTCAGACCTGTTCCACTGTTACTAAAACACATGCTATGGGCACTCCAAGAAACACTGTATTTTTCCCCAAAAATATGTAATCATGTATGTTAGTTAAAGCATAGATAACATTTCACATTTGGATACTTAGGAGCATTTACTGTATTTCTTAGTAAGTGTATTTGAGGGGGGGGAAAGTGCTGCTGATAAGATACGAATAGACAAGATTTTAATGAAATTTTGTCAACATTCTATGGAAAATGGTTCCTGGTAAACTGAGAAGGATATTAAAATAAGTGACTTTTTTTCCCAGAGCTATCATTATTGTTTGATTTTTCTTTGTCAAGTGTACAGAACCTGTCATACATTCATGATAAGTAGCACTGAAAAATTACCCATTCAAATGTCCCCTGGGCACTTAATGGCAAAAGATTGCCAGTTCGAATGTAAAGGTCAGTGACAATGCATTCCTGCCTGATACAGACTTCCCCTGCCGGACTCTGGGGACGTAGTCACTTGACCGTCCAGAAACACATGAATAAAAAGCCGTTATGACTGTTCACCATTGTTTTAAAGGTACTTAGTATCTTGATCAAACTTTAGTCTCCAGTAACTAAACAAGTCCCCAAGTTTCCTTATTTTCATTTACCCATTGACTAGATTTGAGACAAAGAAATACTACAGGTCATGCAACTAGAAGACACTTGCTTCCACTACTAAATATACAGGGTATGTCCTCACTTGGAGTTAACTGGAATAGCAGTACGGTAGCAAGTGTCTCTGGGTCCTTGGTGAAGGATTCACATTAATGCTTTGGTAATACCTTCTGAGTGAATTAGAGGAAATAGCAAATGAATGTTAGGTACTGTGCAGATTACTTCAAATGGGAAAAACCTTTTTGTACATTTGGACTCTATAGTATCCTCCCTATTCACCAGCTTCTGAAGAAGGAGGAGTATTTTTAGTTTAATAATTTAAAAAAAAGACCTTTCCAGGTAGGAAAAAATTGAAGCTATTTGCTGCAAACATCATCTAATTTTGCTTAAAGTCGAAAGTCGTAATACTGTTGCATTCTGTCAGTGTTGCAGGGCTTTAAACTTTACAATTATTTTAATATTTTTGATAACTAGGAATCTAGTATTGCCATAAAGGAAACTAAGTGCCCATTAAAGATTTGTTTGGTATAAATAAATGATTTTTTTGTTTTGTTTTAAATGACAGTAAGCTACAAATCATGATGTTAATCTTAATACTTTCTGAAGATGAACTTTGTGGCAGTGATTGTGTGGTCTGTTTGTGGAGAATGTATGAAAGCTATTCATATTCTAAAATAGATTAATAAATCGGCTATGTTGTCCCAATGAATGTACAGCACGTCCATTAACTTTCGAAAGCAACACAGCCTTAAACTCAATGCTTTTGCTTTATGACATGGGAATGTTCTGTCATCAACAGAGTGTATTCTTGTAATAGAATTCTTTGTATCATTCTCAATTCTATTGCCTTTCAATCCTATGTGTGAGTATTAAGGGTTTTTGCTTCCTTTTTTTTTCTTTTTAAAGTTTGTACATTCCATCTTTCTAGGTCTGTTTCATACGTTTTGTGTATAGAACACTAAGTCTTGCGCTCTCTGACGTTGATACTGATATATTCTCATTTGTTCTTTTACGAATCGAAATGCTGACTGCCTATTTAAAGAAAAGAATGAACGCTGTGCATCAAAGTGTTTGTATGTTCGTAGCTACATATGTACCACAGTATTTTGGATGCTTTAGTCTACAATAAAACTTTAAATTAATTCTGTCTTGAAACATAGGAGAAACAAGATTCATGTGTATATCTTTACCATGCACAAAATATCAGATCATTATAATAAAGCTTGTTTTCTCCATTTCCAGGGTGAATGTTTATTTATTTTACATAGTTTTCTTTTTTAGTAAAGGGAAATGAAGAAATTTTCTAGAATATGTGGCAGATATCAATACCTCAACCAAACTGTTTAGTTAAATTAGTAAAATTTTTGTCATTTATGATACCAATAATCTGGTTAGCATTTAGGATGTATCTTAGATAGGAATTTGGAAAACCATGACAGGTATGCCTAGCACACATATTTAGAAAGTCAGATAGACCAAAATCACTATGCTTCAAGAATCACAAAAGGGACTTTCTAGAAATCATGGCAGTCCCATTTCTAGGGGGTGAAGAACTAGAAAGAGACTGCACTATAACTACTGTCTTTAGGGTCCACAATTTAATTAAAATTAATTACAAGAAACATTTTTATATTACATCAAGCTGACGGCCAAGCATTTCAAGCAGTACTCACAACATCTAAAGAATATGTCGGACAGTCCTCTGGTGGTTGCAGAGGAACCTGCTGCTGGATGCACAAATCATGGGCTATCACTACGTCCTATCCTTTCAAAGAAGTTAGTTTCCATCTTTCTTAAGTCAAAAAAAATTTAAATTGGTCTCTATTCATAATGTCAAAGTTGTCATCTTAATGCCACTTACACACAAGCCAGCATGTTCCCTCTGAGACTTGAAGATAGATAAGCTCTCAATCTTGAGTGGTGTGTGGATTGATACTTGGTCTTTTGTTCTATAAAGAACGCTTGTCCTTCATTGATTGTAAACAAATC